TGCCCAGCCTGGTCCTCTTCTCTGCTCCCAACCTTTTGGGCCAGAACTGGATGTTAGCATCAGCCATTAGCCAGAGCACTCCCTAAAGCAGTGATGGCGAACCTATGACACGCGTGTTAGAGGTGACACGCGAACTCATTTTTTTGGTTGATTTTTCTTTGTTAAATGGCATTTAAATATATAAAATAAATATCAAAAATATAAGTCTTTGTTTTACTATGGTTGCAAATATCAAAAAATTTCTCTATGTGACACAGCACCAGAGTTAAGTTAGGGTTTTTCAAAATGCTGACACGCCGAGCTCAAAAGGTTCGCCATCACTGCTATAAAGTCTTCCCATAGAACAGCCCCAGGAGGGGTGGCTGAACCCCAGCTTTCAGCATGGCTGAGGCTGGAGGGCCCAGGCTATGAGCCCTGGGCTGGGGCTGGAGCGGGTGGAGGTCACCTTCATCCTTCCAACAGTGACATCTTGCTGCAGGAATGGCTTGAGGCTCCCAAATCCACATCCTCTCTTTTCTGCACAAACAGGCCAGGCAGCTGCACCTCTGAGCCCTGGCTGCCTCCAGCCCGTGGTTAATTGCCAGAAAATAATGAGCCCTGAGGTCATTGCCTCTTAAACAGCTGCTCCAGCTCTTCCTGTTGGCCTGGGTGGTTTTGAGCTCCCTGCCCTCCCTCGCCTGCCGCTGTAATCCTCTCACACACAGTCAAGCGGGGAGCCTCCAGCTGTGCTCTCCCCGCCACTGACTTTGGCAGCATCTCGATTCTCCTCTCCTCCTGTTGCCTCGCTGCCCTGAGACCACGCTGTGCCTCTCCCCCCACCCGCCCGGACACCCTGCCTCGGTTTTCTGACGGCGGCTCGGTGTCCTTCTCTAACCGTGCAGAATAGTGAGACAGAGGAGGAACGCTTAGCGAAGCTCCCTTCTTTGTGGCAGAATCAGTCCAATGGGGAAATTCCAAAGTCCAGTTGTATAAAGTTCTTGAAACTTACTTACCTGAAGGTGGTGCCAGCTGGTGCCGAGCTGCCCTGTGTCACAGGCCCAGTGACAGAACCGCACCTGGGCTTGGCCTGTCCCATGCGGCGGACGGAGGCCCCTCGTCCCTCGTCCCTCTGAAGTGTCACCGCGAGAAACATCCCCGCAGGCTTCCTGCAGAGCCTCTCCTCCAGGAACGCCGGTTTGGTTGAGTGCTGTGCCATCCCAGCTTCGTTCTGGATCTACATTTCGTTTTAGGAAATATCCAACTTCCAGTTCAAACTGTTCCATTACAGAATTAAAGGAAAACCCCTTTTGGTAAATGGTACAGGGGGGAGATGACTGCGTCCCACTCTGTGCTCACCAAACTGGTTCCTCCCATGTTTGGGGCCCAGTTTGGCATCGTTTGAAGCGGCATCATTCTTATCGAGGGCTCTGGGGGCATCCTGCTTTCTGTCCGGCCAAGACTTGGGCGGCCACTTCTGGAAGGACGGGGACAGCCCTGAGAGCAGGGGCAGGCCCGGCACAGGGGGAGCTGGGGGGAGGGGTAGGCTCACACCCATGCACGGGGCCTGCGAAGACAGAACAAGATACGGGTCAGAGTGTCCATGGTCCCGGGAGTGGACCAGCGTGAGGCCTGCCAGTCAGATCGGTTCAAGGGTGTCAGCAGTGAGGTCACAGCCAGGAGCTTCCAGCTCAGGGAGGGCTTTGGGGGCCTTGTGGGAGCTGAGGTTGGCGGCTAACGGCTGCGGAGCGCAGATGCGGCCGGGGCAGCGAACCCAGGCAGGCGGCAGGGAGAGAGCAGAGGCCGGGCTGTGCTCAGGCTCTGTGCGCCCGCGGGAGCGTTGTCCAGCGTGTGCAGGAGTAACTAGACTCCGAGAGAAGTTAGGCTGGACCGAGTAAGGCAAAGGGCAGAGGGGCAGGCACAGGCTCGACATCTCTTCCCCCCACACCACAGAGGCACAGGAGTGCACCGGGGGCCTGGGGGTGACTGGCAGCCGCCGCACGGAGGCTCCGGTGGCAGGATGGGAGCTGGCCTCTGAGTACCGAGTACTATACCGAGTCCTGAGGCAGGGCAGGGAGAGTGGGGATGAATGTGGAGCCAGCAGGGAGGTGCAGCCGGGTTCGAGAGGAGCTACGGGTCAGGCACATCCCCAAGGCCCTGGAGTGCATGCATTAGCGGGGACACCCTCCTGGTGGGTGTCAGTGCAGCCACACACTGTCCAGTGGGCCGGGCAGCTCCCAGGAGAACAACCATCTGGCCCGGGCGACCGTGCCTGCCGCTGGCTGACAAGTGCGGCTCACCTCAGGCTGCCGCCATGAGCTCTGGAGCAGGAAGCAGGTCAGATCATCGTAAAGCATAACTCCCCTCCCACTGGGTCCTCCTAGGGGTAAGCAGGGCAGGATGGGCCACCCACTGGCTCAGCCCCACAGGCAGGGCCCTGCGTATGGCCCTGGAGTTACACCTTGTACAAGGAACCAGGGAAGGCTAAAGTCAGCTCGCCCAGCTCACTGCACCACGTTTTTCTCATTGGAGCACATTTTTCTAATTCACACCCAGGTGTCAGAGGTCACCCGTCCAGAGCCAGCGAGTGGCAGAGCCTGGACTCACAGCCAAGTCAGCTGACATTCCACCACCTTCCTCCAGGTTCCAGGCCCTGTGATAGGCACCCGGGCTGCTTAGCAGAGAGACCCAGCCACAGACCTCTCGTCAGCCTCCTGCTCACATGGACAGCGTTCAGTGCCTCCCGAGGACCCAGGCACACACAGCCCCCTTCGTCCAAAGCCCTCCCCGTAGCGGGAAGAATCCATGGGCCCAGGGCACATGCCCACTTGGAACCTGCCTCTGCCCTCCCCACTCGAGACCTCATCTGGGGGCCAGGAGCTTGGGATCCTGTGCAGTCAGCCTGAGCCTCCGTCCAGAGCCTGCAGGGGGCACCAAGGCGGGTGCCCCCACCCTCCTCCACACCCACCTCCTCCACACCCTCACCCAGTGGGGACCGGGTCTGGGCCTGGGAAGGGACGGGCAGAGCAGGGACATGCAGGCCTGAGCCATTCCTGGTGCAGCATAGAGCCGGGGCAGGAAGGGAGGACCCAGGACAGTGATGGGCAGGCCTGGCACCAGTACTGAGACTGTAGGTTTCCCTGCTCACTCGGTGCTGGGAGACAATGAGCTCAATCCAATGGCTGAGGGAGAAGCGGCGGATTCACTTAACTTGAAAGGAAGCCTGCTCGTGGGTCAAAGTTCTTTGTCCGTGAAATGTGCTCTCCCCTGTGTTGTTTCAGTCCTGCCCTTGACAGGCCCCCTGCTGGGCTCTGGGAGCCAGTGCGCAAGGCCTACAGGCCCATGGGCTGAAATTGCCTCTGACATGGCCAGACAGCCCCTGCCCTCCTGCTATCCCACCCTGTCAACTCTTGGGAGCCCGTGCCAGCTGTCTCCTTGCCCTCAGACCCTCCTGCCCACTTTCTTGCCACACCTGATGAACCCAGGCATCTCAGAGCTCACCCACAGGTGGGCAGTGCCTGGAGGGAGGAAGAGCATCACCAGCCAGTGCCAGGGAGTAGGGGCTGTGCTTGCCCAGAGGGGCCAATTTCAGGCAACAGCACCCCCTCTTCTTCCTCCTTTCCCCCCACGTCTTTCCTTCTTCCCTACCTGTACCTGCACCATCTCCCTCACCCTGTCCCCTCGCAGTCACGTGGGCCTGACATGCATTTCTGACCTGTTGGCTCCTCCAAGAACGTCCGGGATCCAGCAGTGTCCCGAGCCTTCCTGGTGGTAAAAGCAGGTGGGGGTAGGGGCAGGATGAGGCCCGTCACAGCCCAGAGCACAGCCAGGAACCCAGCCAGCAGCGTCAGCAGGGCTGTGAAGCGTGCAGAGCAGCGAACCGGAGCAGTCAGGCAGTGGTGAGGGGAATTTAGAACCGCTGCAATGCCCTTCCCGGGCCCCTGCCTGTGCTTTTCCAGAGCCTTGGTTGCTGCAGCCCCTACACTCCAGCCATGTCCCTGAACTCAAACACCCCATGCTTCTGCTCTCCCCTCTGCGTGGCATGCACTTCCCTCCTTCTTCACCTGGCAAATGCTCACTCATCCTTAGAGGTGCCACTCAGGTGTCACCTCCTCCAGGAAGCCTTCTCTGACTGCTCTCCCATAGTTTCCAGGGTTTGCCCCATAACAGCATTTATTATTTTTTAAAGTATATATTTTATTGATTTTTTACAGAGAGGAAGGGAGAGAGATAGAGAGTTAGAAACATCAATGAGAGAGAAACATCAATCAGCTGCCTCCTGCACACCCCCCACTGGGGATATGCCCGCAACCAAGGTACATGCCCTTGACCGGAATTGAACCTGGGACCCTTTAGTCTCTAGGTCAGTGATGGCGAACCTATGACACGCGTGTCAGAGGTAACACGCGAACTCATTTTTTTTGGTTGATTTTTCTTTGTTAAGTGGCATTTAAATATATAAAATAAATATCAAAAATATAAATCTTTGTTTTACTATGGTTGCAAATATCAAAAAATTTCTATATGTGACACGGCACCAGAGTTAAGTTAGGGTTTTTCAAAATGCTGACATGCCGAGCTCAAAAGGTTCACCATCACTGCTAGGCCGACACTCCATCCACTGAGCCAAACCGGTCAGGGCCATAACAGCATTTAAAACACATCATTATGATCACTTACTATCTATCCCCCTACCACCAATAAGTTTGAAGGCAATAACCGTCTTACTGATGAGGCCTGGCATATAGTAGGCATTTAGTGAGTATTGGATGTGTGGGTGGATTAACAAGCTGCCAGCAGACCAGTGAGTGAAGAGGTGAGTGGAGAACTCCGTGCCAGCAGCCAGCAGAGGTGGGTATGCCCAGAGCTTCTGGGAAGACAGGAAGATGGTCCAGGGGTGGGGGTCCCTGGCAGGTGCCCCACCTCCCTCACTACTTTAGGAAAGCATTTTCATAGCGGCCCTGAAGTACCATCCGCTCCCCAGGCCCGATCCCAGGGTGACTGTCTTCTCCCCTTGCCCCTAGTATTTCTGCCTGTTGCTGGTGATCTTCCTCGTGGAGCTGGTGGCGGGGGTCCTGGCCCACGTGTACTACCAGAGGGTGAGTGGAAGGTCTTCCTTCTACGTTGCCCATAGCGCCCCCAGGAGCCCACGCGTGGGGGAGGGTGGAGGGTGCTGGGGAAGCTGAGACACCGGCGCACGGAGTGGTCCTGTCTCCCAGGCCCCAACACTCCTCAGCACATCTGGGTCCTGCTTCTCGCCCGGGTCCCAGTAACCCTCCCCTCCACCTGTGGATGCGGATGTCTTCACCATGGGAGCCAGGGGGGGACGCTTCCCGGGGGGTGGCTGGTTCCTCTCCCCTCCTAAGGGGAAGTCACACATCCAAGGGGAAAGCAAGGCCTGGCCCAGGGCCACATGCCAGACTATGAAGACAGCACCGGCCTCGCCTGCCTGCAAGGACAAGGAGGACGGGGCCAGTCCGGTCCTCTCCCACCGCGTGCCCACTGAAGCAGGCTTCAAGGTCACTGCCAGACTGATATTCGGCTGGTAGGGACAGTGACCATGCTGGTTGTTTCAAGCCAGCACCTGGAGGAGCACTGGGTGCCCACGGGATCTCATGATCAAAATGAAATTCAACAGGTATTTAAAAGCAGCCCTGGGCCTTGGAGGTGTCTCCTCCCGCACCTGCCGCTCAGCTCCTCCCACCACACCCTTATGTTAGGGCCCCAGCTTTTGCAACATCATCTCATAACTGTCTGCTGTGCGCGGAGGGTCCCTTCCACTGTGTGGGAAACCACCGCACTGCACCGCTGGAAGGACAGAGTGGTGCAGAGTAGCTGGTGGTTAGGCGCAGGCCTGGGGACCGGGGTGGGCTGCTCTGCTGACCCACCTCCCCTCCACCCTCCAGCTGAGCAATGAACTGAAGCAGCACATGACCCGGACGCTGTCTGAGAACTATGGGCAGCCTGGAGCCATGGAGATCACCACCTCAGTCGACCGTCTGCAGCAGGACGTAAGCCCCCATAGGGTGGGGTCCTCTCTGTCCCTTCCGTCTGTGTGCCCCGGGCAAGTTCCTTACCTCTGTCAACTCCTACTGGACGACAGGCAATGATAAGCTTTGATAAACTCGAGTTTGAGCCCAGTGCCAAGCGTCACTCCCTGCACATAGTAGGTGCCTAATAAACACTTGTTAAGTAGACTAAATGCACCTCCCGCCCCACCCGCACCTCTCACACCAGAGACCACCTCAAATAGCCATGTTCCCTGGCCCATGTAGGGACTCTAAGTCTCAGTCCCCAAACCAGAAGAGTGAGAAATAACCAATCTCTTGATTTTTAATCACCCTGATCTGGGCGGGCACATCCCTGCCCTGGGAGGTGCAGCAGATGCAGGGCCCAGGTCAGCTCACACCAGCCCCTCTGGTCACTGCTGAGCTGCCTGTTCCATGGCCTCTGGGACACCTTTTGTGTCCCTGCAGGACTCAGGGCTCTGAGGCCTCAAAGCCTGAATGAGGGCCTGGAACCTGTGGCAAGGCTGGGTCCCTGGCCCTGGGTTCTGCCTCCCTGCGGGCCCAGAAAACTACCTCTGGTGGGTGTGGCCCCACCTGCCTCTACCTCCCTGCCCATCTTCTCACACACCCTCCCTGCCCCAGGGCACCACCATAATCTCCTTGAAGATCTTGGTGATGTTTAAGGCAGCAAACGGTGGCCTGCAGGCAAATTTTGCCTGAAATGAGACCAGCCCACACTACACACAGGGGAAGGGCGGAATCCCAGGGGAAGAAAGGGGCTGGTTACTATTTGAATAATGGTCCTGCTCCCTGGAACCAAGCTGCTGGAGGGGCCTGTGCATCTCCTCACCGCCAGGTTCTGCCTCTCTCTGCAGTTCAAGTGCTGCGGAAGCAACAGCTCTGCCGACTGGCAGCACAGCGCCTACATCCTGTCCCGGGAGGCCGAGGGCCGCCAGGTGCCCGACAGCTGCTGCAAGACGGTGGTAGCGCGCTGCGGCCAGAGGGCCCACCCCTCCAACATCTACAAGGTGGAGGTGAGCACCTATCTCCAGCTGGGGCCTGCAGAGGGGCCAGCTGGCCATCCAGAGGCCCCCAAAAGGCAGGCTCAGGGCAGACAGGTAGGGGGAGCAGGGCCCACTTATTTATTGGCCAGAAAGCAGCAGTGCTGGGCCTTCAAAGGGTTGCACAAAGCAGGGGATGTGCACCTGCTACTGAGAGATTTCAGGACATCATGGCCTACCCTGGTCACCCAAAAGCCTGTGGGCAATTGGAAAGCTGGACCAGGCCCTTTCCGTCTCCGGCCTTCCCTCAGCCAGTTGGATGCAGCACCCGGCCTGCCCTTCCCTCCCATCCTCGCCCACTTCTGGTTCAAGATGAGTGTGACCTGCTGTTACCTTACAGGGAGGCTGCATCACCAAACTGGAACAGTTCCTGGCCAACCACCTGCTGCTCATGGGAGCAGTGGGCATCGGGGTGGCCTGCCTGCAGGTGAGTGAGGGGAGGGGCTGTAGAGGAGCTCACTGACCCTGTGCACACGCACACTCGGCCCTGCCTCCTCTCCCCTTCCCTTTGCAGCCAAAGTTGAGTCACACGGTCACTCTCTTCCCCAGAGACAGGAAGGAAAATGCCTGGGGCCGGGGGGCCAACTTGAACTTGTAAGGAACAGAGACCTGAGAGGAGTGTGAGTGTGGGCTCAGGTATGTGCATGCACCCTGTGTGTGCATGTGCAGGTGTGTGTGCAGCCTGCTGTGTCTGTGTGGGCCCTGGGTGTGTCTGCATGCATCATGGTGGGGGTTGGATGCATGTATATGTGTTTAGGTGTGCTTGTGCACGTGTGTGTATGTGTGTGTGTGTGTGTGCATGACATGCTCTCACATGCTCTCATTCCTCTGTTATGCGCGTGTGCACACCTGTGGATATGTGCTCCCTGTGTACACCCAGCTCTCTGCTCCGAGCATGAGCCATGCTCTTTGCTCTGGGTCACTACTCCGCCCTCCCCCAGCTGCCATCCAGGGAGTTAGTGTTACTCCCATGAGTCAAGATCAGAGGAGAGAGGAGTGGCACCCGCAGGGGCAAGGGCAGGCTCAGCGAGCAAGGGCCCTGCGTGCCCACCTCACCTGACACTCCTGCTTCAGCCCAGCCGGTTCTGGAGGGAGCTGAGTCCTGTCCCACCTCCCTGTGCCCGGTCTATAAGCACCGTCCAGGGGAGAGGGGAGAGCAGTAGCTGCCTGTCAGAGGACCTGGGTCCAATCCTGCCGCTGCTTCTGTGCGACGTTGAGCAGTTACTTCCTGGCGCCCCAATGTCATCCTCAAACTATGGATTGTTTCCCCAACTGCGTGAGGGCCAGATAAGAACAAGGTGATACGTGTGACGGCAGCAGCACCTGGCACGGGCGAGGGCCTCCATAAGTGGAAACTCTGTGGACTTCAGAGTGGCTCACATACTTTCTCTTATCTGATCCCCACAACCTGAGAGCCAGGCCAGGCGAGTAACAGCGTCCTCCCCATTTTACAGACCAGAAAGTTGAGGCCCAGGGAGGGGACTTACCGAGGGTCTCGTCCTGAACGGCCACCCAGGTCTCCGTGGTCCTTCGCTTTCCCAAACTCCCTCCCAACACAGTTCCATGGGAAGAGAAGCAGGATGGGTGTGAGGCTAGGGAGCCTCAGCGTGGGTTCCTCCCAGGTCACGGCTGCTGGCCCACGTCAGCCTGAGTGCCGGAGGGTCCAGCTGCAGCCTCGCCTGCTGGGCCTGGCCCTCTGGAGGGAGACCGGACAACCGAGGGCTGGTTATTGGTCTCTGAGCCCTGGCTCCTCATTTGTGATATGGGGCTAATTACAGCTGGTTCGTGACCAGTGAGGATCGGCAGTATACATGTGACCACGTGGCTCACTGCCGAGCAGGTAGCAGGTGCTCAGGACACGGTCCCCATCATTACTTTTATCATTTCCATGCGGCACATTATTTCTCCCAGAAGCCCTGATTGTCCCCTGGACAGACCAGCTGCCCCTTCACCTCCACTCAGGAGTAGGCCCAGGGAGCCCCAGGGGGCAGTCACCCGGCCCCTCATGTACTTCCCGGGGCAGGCCTCTGCCCCACATACTGAACCCCGGGGGAGTTGCCATGGGGCCTGGGGAAGAGGCTGCTCTGCACTCAGCCCCTGAATCAGCTGTGGTTTCTGGAAACCTGCTGTTTGCCTCAGGTATGGAGGGGACCTGCTCTGCATGGACGCTGGCCAGGCCGGGGCCACGCTCTGTGCCCATTTCTTTCTGGCCTCTCTGGCCTGAGAGCCTGGAGAAGCCGAGATGGGGCAGTGAAGCCATGGGCAGGGAGGGACTGCCAGTGCCCAGAGCCAAGGGCAAGGTGGCCAAGTGCACCTGCAGGAGTGATGCCCAGGAGGCCAGGTGGCAGGGCGCCTACAGGCCCACAGGTGCCTCCTGCCCCCTCCACCCCCACCATGAAAGTCTTGGTCCAGCTCACTGTGGAACTACTCCTAGAGTCCCCCAGAGAGAGCTTCTCCGGGCCACCGCCATGGACCCCAAGCCCTTGGGCAGTCTCTCCCCTCCATTCCTCCCAGGCTGGCCCTGCAGCAGCCAAGCCTGGGTTACAGCTCCCTCTGCTGGCCAGTGCTGGAACTAAGCTCCCCAAGTCCAGGTCAGCTGCTGGCCTTGAAGGAGGGCTCGCACCAGGCCTGTTCCCAGGTTCGCAGTCATCCTCCCGCTGGAGCAGGCACCAGGCACCTTCCCACACACACCCAGCCTGGCACTTGGGAGACCCTCACGGCTCAGGATAGACAAGGCCAAGATGGTGTCATATGCTTCCCTGGTCGGGACTGGAGGAAACCTAGCTTGAAGTCAGAGGTTTTCCTATTGATAGAGGAGGATTTGAGGCTCAGAGAGGGATGTAGCTGTACCCAAGGCCACACGGTTCCAATGGAAGTTAGCCCACTCCTACTCCCACCCCCACATTCCCACACGGCAAGATAGGAACATGCTGCAGAGCCCAGAAAACTCGCAAGACAGTGAGATTGGACTCTGCAGGGCATTAAGGGGGACCGAGTGGCTTCCTGGGACCTCCTGGTCCTTCCCTGATGCTCTTGGTGACCGCCAGGTGCTGGGTCAGAAACCTCGAAAGAAGCTGAAAGCATTCGGGCTTCTCTGTTAAAAGCCCACGTGTGCCATGTGCAATTTCCAGGCCGGCTGTCAGAAGGGGGTGCCATCTCCCACACAGGCTGGGCCCAGCAGCCTGTCATCGCCATCTCCTGCTCCCGTGGTCAACCTGTGTGTTTTCTTTGCTCACCCTGGTCTGCCGCTGAGTGTGCTGATCTCTGCATGTCCTCTGCCAGGAAGGAGACACAGCTCACTCAGGGATCTGAACGCTCAGTCCATTACTCTTCTGCATGAATCAGGGCGGTGTGTGTGTGTGTGTGTGTGTGTGTGTGTGCATGCATTGGCGAGATTCTGGCCCGCACACTCCATCCTCGCTGTGCCTTCCCTGGGAGGCACCCTGGGAACACACATCTCATTCAAGAGTGAGCATGCTGGGAGCTCAGCCCTCCTGTCTCCCCCGGCATGAGGTGTAGGAGAGGTAGCCACAAGTCCCTGCTGGTCCACCTGCTCCCTCCGGCTTCCCCCTTAGCAAGGATGAGAAAGACTCAGATAACACAGGACAAGGCATGCTGCGTGACACCTGGGTGGCATGGCTGTGACAACCATCTGCTAAAAGCCGGTGGGAGACAAAATAACCTCTTAGGCCGCCTTTCAGCTGTGGCTCCGAGTACTTGGTGGATTAGCTCTGCTCTGGCACCGAGTCTGGAGCTGAGGGCTGTGTTCACAGGGCCCCACCAGCCTCCCACATCGGGATGGAGAGGAGGGAGGAAGGGGAAGAAGAGGGGCATCCTTCACTACCTCCTACGCCAGCCTCGCAAAGAGAGACCGAGCGCCTACCGGCCCGTAGGAGTCCTCACCTGCCTGTCCTCCCGTTGGCAGCAGCTGTTGGAAAGTTTGGGGAAGATGGCGCCTTGCTCCTATATTTGGGGAAGTGCACCTTGGCCCATGTCCACAGGGTGGCCATGGGGCTGCCCTAGTGCCCCTCCCCCACCGGTGGAGTCAGGATCCAAGGGCATCATGGTCAGGAGCATGGTCAGAGTCGTGGCCTCCCTGGTCCAAATATCCTCGCCTTGTCCCTGTGTATCCTTGGGTGGGAGGGAGGAGAGGAGGGGTAGAGAGGAAGAGGAGGCAAAGGAAGGCGGGGGAATAAGGGTCCTCAATAGTGTGGAGACAGGAAAGTGAGACCAGGAAAAGGTGACTTCCCAGCACTGCCCTGCTCTGGGCCGATGCTCTAGCCCTGTGGTCGGCAAATTGTGGCTCGCGAGCCACATGCGGCTCTTTGGCCCCTTGAGTGTGGCTCTTCCTAAGCCTTAGGAGCACCCTAATTAAGTTAATAACAATGTACCTACCTATATAGTTTAAGTTTAAAAAATTTGGCTCTCAAAAGAAATTTCAATCGCACTGTTGATATTTGGCTCTGTTGACTAATGAGTTTGCCGACCACTGCTAGCCCCTTCTTGCTCAGCTAGTGGGTGTGACAGGGGCCTGTCAGGCAGGCTCCTAGGGCCTCGTTGCACTGTTGATATTTGGCTCTGTTGACTAATGAGTTTGCCGACCACTGCTAGCCCCTTCTTGCTCAGCTAGTGGGTGTGACAGGGGCCTGTCAGGCAGGCTCCTAGGGCCTCGTTTGGTGCCACATTCCACAATGACTTACAGATGAGCTGGTGACAGCTCTGGGTGCCCCTCCCAGAGCCTCGGTGTCCCCAGTGGCTTCTGTCCATCAGCCAGAATCCACTGTGGTGGCTGGTTTTGCTCTGGTCAGAGCAGCAATGCAGACAGAGAAAGGCTGCTCGGGTAGCAGTCAGCTGCCCCTGGAGAAGCGCTGGGCCGCAGACCAGGCAAGGGCCGAGCTCGTTCGCTAGTAGTGCAGAACCTCGGCCCCACCCACATCGCGGTCCCTGGGTGATTCGTTCCCATCAAAGTGTGAGAAGTACTGCTCTTGCAGAGCAGTTCTCAGAGCGTGTTCCCTGGGAGCTTGTCAGAATGGCAGAATCTCAGTACCTCCCTCCCCCACCTCCCACGTGGGAGCCTGCCCTTCATCCAGGTCCCAGCTGCGCACTCCGTGTGGGAAGCCGCGCTCTGGGCACTGCTGGCCGTACCGCGGTGGGGTCCTGATCTCTGCTCTCTCCACCTGGCAGACCTGCGGAATGGTTCTCACCTGCTGCTTGCACCGGAGGCTCCAGCTGCATGTTCACTAACGGCCCATCGTGTCCCCCTCCACTGCCCCCCACAAGGACAGGGGTCCAAATCCCATCTGCCAGACCCGGGGAGCCAGCATAGCTCATCTAGAAACTCGCAGAAAGTCCCCATCCCTGGTGCCCACCCTTCAGACCCACCAAGTGCCCAAGACCATGGCTCCTGAAGTTCCCACCAGACGGGAACCCTCCACTTCCGAGTGCTCACTGCCAGCCCAGGCGGGGACTGGCCCTGCCAGGGACAGACAGGAGGCTCCCAAGGACCACGGGAAGGTGAGAGAGTTGGACTCTCTGCTCCCTCCCAGCTCCTGAAACGACATCGAAGGACTACAAACCTTGACCCCTCTGGACCGGGTGTTCAGCATGACCCCGACGTTGCTGAGCAGCCCTCCTCTCGCCTCTGCCTAGGTTTGGGGGCTTTGCTCTGGCCTCCCGGAGATGCATCACGGTGGGCAGTTAGGGGTATCTCTGCCCCCAGAAGGCCCAGGCCTCTGATCTGCCCACCCCAAGGCCTTCTCACCAGGCCTCTGATCTGCCCACCCCAAGGCCTTCTCACGGGAGAGGAGTGTCCCCATGGCCTGGCTCCTTCCTGCAGGGCCTGGGAGTGGAGAGAATGAGATGAGGCCGCCGGAAGCTGGATGCGGGCAGTGGTAGATGGTGGGGCTTCGGGCAGGGAGCGAGGGGGCTGGGGGCATAGAGATGGCGGGGAGTTGGCCCCACCTGCATGTGCTGCAGCAGGAGCCTGCGCCGCCTGGAGGCCTTCCCTGGGAGAGGAGCCCTGGGAGAAAGGCCCCGAGCCCCAGCCTCCAGGAATCTCCTGTGTAGGGCCTGATCCTCAGAACGGCCAGGGTTTTAAACCTTCGGCGGTTAATGTGGGCGAGTGTAAAACTCCTCCCGATTGGACCCAATCGCAGAGCCTGAAACGTCGGAGCCACTGAAAAGGTAAAGCTCCAAGTCGAGGGGTGCTCCGCCCTGAACCTCACTTGTCCTGTGTCAGGCTCCCTGACCACGAGGCCTCGCTCTGCTCCTGGAGCGAGCACAGTCCCTCCCTCCGGTCCCGCCTCGCTGTCTGAATTGGGCAGGGGATCCTCAGGAAGAACTTCCCGATACTGAGGGAGAACAGAAAGCAAAGCCTAGAAATGCAATGCAGATGCTGACAGTTTTCCTTCAACAGCCACAGCTCCCCCCCACCGCCCCCCACCCCCTGAGGCTGTGACATGGTGCTCTAACAGGAAGACCCCACACCCGCTTCCACACCTCCCGGGCCCTGCTCTTTCCAGCCACAGGGACCCTCTTCCTGCCCCACCCATGAGAGGTGGGCCCTTGTTATGCTAAATCCAAGGCCAAGAAAGGTCACCTCCTGCCTCCCCTCTGGGTCCAGTCCCAGTGTGACAAGCTCAGCTCTGGCTGAGCCGGGTCAGTCCTGGGTGAAGGGTATTCTCTCTCCCATACACAGGTCCCTGCTATCCCCAGCTCAGCCCTCATCTGTGCAGAAACTGCACACCCTCAGAGCACATTGCCTCCCTGCCTCCCTGCCTCCCTGCCTCCCTGCCTCCGGGGCTGGTGGGGACCCTGGCTGGCTTAGCCAGAGGGCCTTGGGGTGGCGGAGAAAAGTTCATTAGGAGGGAGACCAGCTTTGCTAGCAACCCCAGGCTGCATCAAGGACAAAAGAAACGGTGGTGTGGTCATCTTTGCTGCCCTCCAGCTTCCCGGGACTCATGCAGATAAATAAAAGGTGATGGTGAGGCCAAGCTCTTTGCAGGAACAGAAGTCAGACAGGTCTCACCAAGTGAGGCTTAGAGAGAGCGCGTGCTCTTCCTGCCGAGAGCCGAGGGCCGAGGGAGGCGGCAGTGTACGGGTGCTGGCCTGTTACATGCCTGCCCCTCCTGGGTCCCTTCACTTTCCTGAGGTGCCCCAGCCTGTGCAGATGGGGATGGGGTGCCGGGCCTTGTCACTGGGGGAGACCCTGGAGAGCTGACTTCCTGCCCCACCTCCTGTGCTGACGAGGCAGAGGCAGGGGGAGCTGTGGCTCCTGTGCTGGACATCGTCTTGTGAGAGCTACCGAGGACCGGGCTGGTCCAAGCCGCAGAGGGATAGAGCAGCCCGGAATTTTGGGGGACTGGGACCTCTTTGTTCATGCCAACGGCCTGGGAGATGAGACACGGTGACAGGAAACTGAGGCCCAGGGCATGGCAGGTTCCCCGAGGGGCGCCCTGAAGACTGGAGTCAGAGCTGGGGTGCCGGTCCGCCTGTGAGCATGCAGATCTGTGCCAGGATGGCTCCCCCAGGTCCCTGCTCTGAGGCCGGCAGGGCCCTGAGTTCCCGGAGAGAGAAGGCGTGTCTGGTGAGAGCCATCGCAGTCCTGCGGGGGCAACAGGCGCCGGCACACAGGCCCAGAAAAGAGGCCAGCACACCCACACCTCGATCTCACCAAGCGGCCCTTCCCTCCCTCAGCTCACAGGAACACCCCTCCCAGAGGGAGTGGTGCACCCCAACTCCCTGGATGACCTGTGTCTGGGGAGACAGGAGTGTGACGGCCTTTGGTGAGGGGATGAAGTCTTGTTTAAAGTATTTGTGGCCATCCTTGTCTTTCTCCCTCCCCCTCCCAGCTCCAGGAGCTCCTCAGGCATAGCCACGGGGCGGGGGGGTGTCCAGGGCCTTGTGTTTACTGAAGGCCTACTGTGTGCTTAGAATGTGTTAGTCACGTAGACACACCATCTCGTAGGGACCGAGGTATGAGGGTATATTCCCCCCACTCCACAGTCAGCAGCAGTGGCTGCCATCACGCCACCCCTCTCCCCAGCGCCCCCAGTTCTCCATCTCTAATAAACCGCCAGGCTGACATTCAGGAGCAGCATGGCCGTGGGGTGTTGTGGACCAGCCTCACACCCCCTCCCCAGTTGGGCGGGACCACCGCCAGCCCCAGCGCTAGAGCTGCTCTGTGCGGTTGGAAGAGAAGAGTGGCTCCTTTGGGCTGACAGGGGACCCCCCACCCCCGGCAGAGTGTCTCACAGGAGCCCGGGGCCATGGCTCAGGGGCGCCTGGCCTACCACCTCCGGAGCCAACGCTGACACCAGAGTGAGGGTGACCGCCCTCGGCACTCAGAATCCCCACGCAGATGTGAATGCTCATGCGGCGTGGAGACAGTGGTCTGGGCATGGAGGCCTGGCCAGGTGACAGGAAACACCTCTCCCGCCCGCCCATGCGGCCTCATGCATCACAGAGCGGCCGGGGCAGGGAGGAGGTGCCCGGCTGGTGGAGCTGACCACCTCCTGCCTGCCTTCCCTCCTCTCTGCCGCCGATACCGGGCTCTGGGTGGGCACAGTGTGAGCTGTCTCCGGCCTAGAATCTCATCAGGCTGCCGCCCAGTGCACGACCCCAGGCCTGGCCCTGAGGAGGGGTGGGGTGACATGCAGGGCCATGTGCCTCCAAGATCCTCATGCCCCACGGCCACTGTTGGTCTTGGGATCTGCCACTCCCGGTCCATCTTCAGGGTTTCAAGGTGGGAGGTGTGAATGAAAAGTTACTTTCGCCACCACCCACCCTGCTATCAGCCTTGAAAACACTCTCCTTACTGGCCACTTTGGGCTGAGGACAGAACTGGAGAAGCGGAGGTGGTTTGATGGCTAAGGAGAACCCCACATTTTGTGTCACCACTGGGTGGCGCTCACATCTGCCAAGGATGCTAGTGATCAAACTTGAGCTTGCATGAGGGTCGCCTGAGGGTCACCTGGAGGGTTTTTAGCACAGATTACTACCCCCTCTTTCCTCCCCCCCTCCCCCATCTTCAGATCAGAGGGTGGAGCCAAGGATTTGTGCCTCTAGCTGGTTCCCAGGTGATGTGGGTGCTGCTGACCTGGGGTTGCACCTGGAGAGCCACTGCTTTAGACCACAGCCCTGAACCACCTTCGTGTGTCACAGCCCCGGGGCTCAGTCCCCTCCGGGCGTGAGGCTTGGGTCCCACTCTGTGACACGGGGCGGCTGTGGGCAGTTCACCGCCAGCCAGGACCGTGCCTCCCTGCTGTGCGTTCCTGCAGCACCCGCCCCACCTCCGCTTGAATTGAGGGGCCGCCTGAGCCCGTCTGTGACCCCGGCTGGCAGAGCAGGTGCCGGGTCCTCTTCCCTGAAGGGGACAGGTCCACAGTCCAGCCCCATTTCCCACCCCCTCCGGCCCCACGCCACTCTCGTCGCCCCTTCTCTCTTCCAGCACAGTGCCAGGCCTGTGCTCCTCCCTCGGCCTCCCCGCTGCGTGAGCACCACAGGCACCCATGCCAGCGCCACAAGTCTTTCCAGGCAGCCCGTTCCTCCTGAGGCCAGACAGGCTCCTGGGATCTGGAACCGGCGGTCCTGGATATGGGCTGTCACAATGCTCTAGAGACAGGGAAGTCACCTGACTCTATCACATACAGAGAAACTGCTCTCCTTGTAAACAGCCCCTCCACCGCTGGTCTCCGTGTAAGCCAGCCTCGGGGCCAGGGGCACAATAATAAAGGAACTGCATCTGGAACTACCTGCTGCTGCTGTTTTTCCTCCCCTGCAGGGAATTCCATCAGGTGTGTGTGGGGGGGGGGAGCCTGGTAGGAGCCCCTTGACCACCCTGAGAGGGTCCTGCCAGCTGCCAGGTTGACTGTTTGCACCGACCTCACCTCCCGTGGGCGTCACTACTCCTGGTGGCGAGCGAGAGCCAGGCTCTCACAAGTGTGCTGGAGTTGTGTTCCCCTTAAATCGCCTTTGGGCAGCCGGGACTGCCACACTTCTGACTGTGATGCCCAGCAGCCCCTGTTATGAGCCTGCGGTCTGCCCGTCCTGCTGTGGGCATCACCCTGGCGGGCTGCAGCCGATGCAGGGTGTGCGGAGAGGGCAGGGCAGGGGCACTTCAAGCTGAGGCACACCTTCTACTGCTCCCTGGCCCCCACCCCACCTCCCCACAGAGTGCTAGTGTCTCCCCCCTTCTCCCCAACCACTCATTTGTCCTCCCCCCCAAACTAGAGTCAGGCACTCCTCACCCCAATGCAGAAAGACGTCCATCCATGATTCAGAGGGACTGAGCGCACCAGCGTGCCCGCCCAGGAAGGAGCTAAAGAAAGTAAACGCTTGTCTTTTATGACATAAAACATTCATTCTGTTTCATTCACTATTCTGTCTAGAAAACTAGCTTGAGGTGGGGTGGGGTCCATGAGGGAGCCTGAGAGCACCCGGGTAAGCTGGACGCTGGGGACCCCGCGACAGAGGGACTGGGGGGCAGGCTGGGCCCGGGGAGGGGGGGGGGGCTGCCTGGCAGGGATCCGCATCCTTGGCCTCCTCCTGTATCTCTCGGCCAGTTAGTCAAGATCATTCACTGAACAGTCACAGTGGCAGCACCCCTGGCTTTGATATCAGGCCCATGGTCACCCATCTCATAGGATGTCTGCTCACCTGCACCATCACTAAGTGTGAGAGGGTGAGACCCCTCCAGGCCCCTTCCTGCCACACACAGCACTGTGGGTGCTGCCCATGCTGCCTCAGGGCCCTGGCTGCCGGTGGGGCCTGGTCAGGATTGGGGCAGTGGGAGCCTTTGCGGAAGCTGTCTCCCTGGTGGCTGCCACTGGCCTGTCAGCTGCCACTACTCCCTGGCAGGAGACAACGCCTCTGTCAGCAGGGTGGGCTGCTTCAAGCTGGTGGGACTTGGTTCCCACTTCCTGTCCCCAACTGAGAACAGAGAGGCTGCCCATGGGGTGGGGGACACACAGGGACAAAAGCTGAGATTCGTCTGCCTCTCGTCCTCCTCCTCTCCCTCCTCCTCCTCTCCTTCCCTTTCTTTCTTTCTTCTTTTAGATTTCAATCAAGCTTTTAATGAAAAGATCATAAAATAACTTTTTCTCCTGTCATAGAAAAGTAATTCACTTACTTTTCTTCTTAAAAAACAAATCTCATGAGAAGCCCCTACTTTCCATCATTGGCTGAACCCTGTTCCAGCAGTGACTGAGCAGGAAGGATGGGCGCTGCAGGGGGACC